TTCCCCAAAACCCCCCCCCCCCTTACGCTTACCCACTATGTCCAAAACCATTGTTCTCTGGTACCATTATACAGTTGTGTGAAATTTGACTGTTCTGTGATCCCATTGTTTTTCTAACTAGTCAATTTTTCTCTTTAGGATAATTGGGATGATGAGGAAGACGCAGAAAATAAGACCAGGCCCCAGCAAGAAGGTAAGGCACTGGGAATATTGGGCCTTTTTTAATGAATTACTGATACTGTCCAGGGGTATATAAAAAGGTGAAAAGCTCTATAAGTTTATTTTTTTGCTTTTTTTTATATAGTTTTTAAGTTTCACATGATTGGCTGTAGCCAAATTGAGAGTCCTCTTGGGTGGGAATACAGCCTCTTGTCAGTCATAACGTACCGTCCAAATGGCCTGGTCCAAGCTGTGGGGAAGATCGGGTTATGACCTGTTCCCCCTCTGGCTGTCCCAGGGGAGGGGGGGCGAGAGGCTCGGGGGAGGAGAGAGGCTCCCCCTCTGGCTGCCCCGGGGGGCAGGAGGTTGTCCTGGGGGATCTTTGTATTTTGATGGATCGTTGTGTGTGGAACTTCTTAGTTTGGGAGCAGGATTTTGTCAGGTTAGTGGCAAGCAAAGAATTTTGGAGATCAGGGTTAATTGATACACAATACATGTTGGGGTTGAGCATGCTTGTGTCCATGCTGGTGTTGTTTTTTTACCCACAAGGCAAATATTCTTGTATAATTTGAAATAGTTTTAATCTAATGCCTACATACTGAAATTTGTTTTTTCTTTAGTAGAAACCAAACCTTCAGAAAAGAAGAAACTGAATGAAAAAATTAAAGAAAAAGAAAGGATTCTGAAAAAGAAACAAGAGGAACTTAAAAAAAGGGTTAGCAAATGGACATGCTGCTTGCTTGTAGCAAAGCTTAATTTCATTTTGACCTTTACTGTGTCTGGAGGTGTCTTAGATTGTGCCTCTGTTTCTTAGATAGAAGAGCCCGAACCTGTAGAATTGTCACCGGAGGAGCAACAAGCAGAGAAACTGCGATTGTTGAAACTGCAAGAGGATTCTGACCTGGAGCTGGCAAAAGAAGCTTTCGGTAAATAGTTGAGCCACAAATATCAGACAATTTTCCCAATTAGTTTCCATGGCACAGGTAGACGCACTGCTTCCCACTCTAGTTTATTTTTAGTATATTGTACGCTTTGCAAGTTTTAGTGAAAAGAACAGAAGAAAGTGCGTGAAGTTCATTCTATTATGCACAAGTTCTGGTGTAGTTGGGTCGGGATTACTAACCACCTTTACTATTGTGCCCTAGAAGAAGTTGTTACTACTAGATCAGCCTTTGTTACTACCAAGTTATTTCATCTAATAGGACAAATTACGGCATGGTGCTGAGATATTTAAACATTTGTTGCATGCATTTTTTTTTCTACCTAAATGCTGGAAATATTGGATATTTTTTTAAATAAGGTATTATAGCTAATCCTCAGGATTTTAGACTTTTAGTGCCCACTGGCTGACATGGACAACATACCTAATGTTTGCTTCTTTGTGTGCCACTTTTTAGAAATTGATTGTAGTTTATCAAAACATTGTTTTTGACCAAGGCTTTGACTAATTAAAATGTGTTTTTGTTTTTTTGTTTTTTTTTACATAGGTGAAGTTGTAGACAATGTTACAGGGTTAGATGTCATGAATCCGTCCTCGCGAGAAGACTTCACGGAATTTGGAAAGTTGTTGAAGGAGAAGATCACGCAGTATGAGAAATCGCTCTATTACCCAACCTTTCTAGAAGAACTATTGCGAGATATTTGCATCTCATGTACGTATCCTGGGCTATGAGTTTAGCAGAGTTGGAACTAACCTTTTGTTGGGCATAGATGAGGGCATGTGTGTGTGTGTGTGTGTGTGTGTGTGTGTGTGTGTGTGTGTGTGCTTCATGCCTACCTGGGAGAGTATGATGAACGTAGCATGCCTATGTGCACTGTATGCTTGGATTGGTTGAGCAAAACTGATGTTAGATTTATGATATGTATGGATTTGGATTGAAAGATTGTATTTGTGTATGGTTGGTTGGGGATTGATAAGAGTAGATCTGACTTGTCGTTCGTATTGGGTTATGGTTGTCTAATCACATGCGGTTTTATTAGGACACGTATATTTATTTTTGAAGCACGAAGTTATGAATGCAGTGTTTAATATATAATTGAGCAACTTGTCTTGCAGTGGAAGTAGAGGACTTGAAGAAAATTTCAACTTCGCTAACAGTTCTGTGCAGTGAGAAACAGAAACAAGAAAAGGTGAGGCATTAGCTAGAATTTATTGAGTCCTAATGGTCTTCACATGAAAGAAATTATATTTGTCTGTCTTTATGTCAATCGGCAGCTTTAAACCTGTCATGATGGATACTTGGAGGCCACCATTGCTGAGCTCTCCTCTTAAGTTTTTAAAAAGCGTAACTTCTTTTAATGTGACTTTAGCTTGTTAGGCCCCTTTATGATAGCACATAGAAGGCATTGACAGGCACTGGTTTTGGCAATGGGGGTTTGTTAAACCCAGATACGTGCACGTCCTCCGTCCCATGCAGATTACAAAGTTTGTCTGACATATTCTTCAGCTGTGAACCTAGAAGTGCTCAGATTTGAGCACTTCCTTGTTCATGCAATGTAGAGGAGCTTGGTGATGGAGGTTCACTAATCTCCACCCACCTTTATATCTTAACATTCCTCCCAGGGCTCTGGCCTTCTAGAGGAGACCGTTGAGGGGGGCCACCAAAGAAAAACAGCTACCTGTCAGGTTTATAAACTAGCTTGTGTGTGCCGTGCGTCTGTGAGCTTGTTGGCTGCCTTTGACAATACTGCTCAGGGGTGTGGAAATTCTTGAAAAAACGACATGTCCAAGGGCTAAAGCGGGGGTCAAATCTACTTGTCCTTCATGACAATCTATTTGTCCCAATACAAAAAAAAATATTTTGCTTTCATTACTCACTATCGCTTTCAGTACTCACTATCGCTTTCAGTATCGGTGCTTCCGTTGGCATGGATTGATTGTGAATGGCTGGGAAGCCGGTTTCCCGGCCAATCAACATCGAGCCAGCTTGCTAGCCAATCAGGAAACCTGGCGGAGAGTAATGACCTGATTGGCTGGGAGGACGGCTCGATGCTGATTGGCAGCCCATCAGCAAGGAGCTGGCTTCCTGGCCAATCAGCCAACAGAGAGGCGGGTCATTAGTCACTGCCCCACTTCCTGATTGCACGGGAAGCTGGCTCCATGTTCCCCTGCGGCACTGCCGGTCGGAGGAAATCTTCCTCTGACTGACTGTAAGTTCCAGTATTGGGGATGGTATCTGAGCATTTGGGCAAGTACAAGTACTCGCCCAAATGCTCCACATCTGTGCATCCCTAATCAGGACTGTATTTGACTGTGATAATTAGCACTTCTCATTGGTCAGCGTGGTCCCCTGAGAGAGACCAGGCCAGATTTGATTGGGTAATTCCATTTTCCCGTATTACCTGGGAACGTGAACTTACCCTTAATTGCACATTGTGCGTGTGAGAGAGTTCTGTTGCATGGCTACCACAATATGGCACACAGTGAAATGGCGGCAGGACTCAACACACACACACAATTTCCTATGCATGCGTTTATTTGTATGCAGATGGCAGGGGCAGCGGAGTTGGTTTTAATTTTATTTGTTTTACGTTGTCACTTTTTTTATTTTTTATATATTTTATTTTTGACTTTTTTTATAACTTTTAACACAGGGTGTTAAAATCCTCTGTGATAGTTTGGAGGTGACTGGTTCTCTTTATGGAACCTGCCCTCCTCCTTCGGGCGATAGGAATTCCACACACCTGCTGCTGTAATAGTTATGGTGATGGCAGAAACATGATTAATATTATGAACCAATGACCCATTCGTCTTACTCTTCTCCTTGGATTTGTTTAGTTAGTGATTCAGGAAGTATTAAAGCCATCAGTACAGCCAGTCATTTAGCATTTTCAGAAGGTTAGCAGAGACGCCACTCTGTTTACCACAGCAATACCCCACATATGGCACTGCAGATAACCTGCATGGAGTGGAGAACAGCAGAGTTGTACTGCCGACATAACAGTAGATGGCGCTCTTTCCTCTGAAGTTCCTACTCCTCTCCTGGCTAAGATGGCAGACTTCTTTGTTCTGTTTTTAAAGCTTAGATTTTGTGCTGCTTGAACGTAATACTTTTCTTGTGCGTCTGTATTTGTTATATAAAATGGCAAATAACCCTAAGCCTGCAGAAACGGAACTACCTCTTAGAAATAAACAAAGAGAATGGTGGGAAATGCACAATACAAGTCTACATCATGGTGTATGAAAGCACCAGATTGTAGTACAATTATATGCTGGGTTATCTAGTTATCCTGCTGGCCTCAAGCTTAAAGGAAAAGGTGTATGTGTCTTTAGCATGCCTAAATGTTCGTTATTACCATTGTCTGCAATGTACATGTCCTATAGAGTTCAGTTTCTGGGAAACAACATATTGCCCCCATTTCTTGTCGGCATGAAAAGGAGTGTACAATTTCTGTGCATTAAGTCCATGAGTACAGAAATGTTCCTGTTGTCAGAGGTTGCCGATTGTTCTGTAACCCCCATTTTATTGCCCTTCAAATGTGTGAAATCAACTGTAATACGTTCATTAAACCTATTCTTTAGGTTTATCTATTTCTAGTCTGTTTTTCCACAAGTCACACTGAACCATGCAGAGTAACAGCATTGCTGCCTTATCATGCAGTGTGAATGTCGCTGTTCACCGTAGATACTCTCCAACTGTCCTATCATTCCCCAGACTGCTGCTGCAGGACAGATAATGACCACATGGAATGTGTGATAGAACATGGATAAGAATTAACCTATTTTATGTCTTATGCCTATTAGCAAAATAAAGCCAAGAAGAAGAAGAAAGGTGTGGTTCCGGGAGGAGGGCTCAAGGCCAACATGAAGAGTGATCTGGCTGATTATGGCGGCGTAGATGATGGATATCGAGAGTTTGAAGATTTTATGTGACAATCGCTTAATATCCTCAGCTCTGACCGAAAGCATCCTCTCCCCTCTTCAGGACTCTGCCAAATGCTACAATGGAAGAATTCAGCCCCTTCACTCAGCCTGAAAATGTGGTTGGGTGAATCTGGATACTACAGGGTTAATAAGACCCACCTCACACCATGCATACTTGCTCGTGCACTCTATATTCTGGCCTGTGATCTCGTCTGCTCTGATTGCGGCATGCATGTCTAGCGTTGCCATGTTGCAAACAGTGGCCTTTGCTTCCTTCCCTCTGCCCTCCCCACATACAAGGGAAAATACCTTTCAAGTAGCACTCTCCAGCCCCTGCTCATTTTACACTGTTACCTTTTCTAGCTACATTAGGCTTCAAATGCCATTGGCTGAGCCTTGTACTAGTAAGAGCTCTGGCCTGTGCTGTGCTGAGACTTCCTTTTCACAGCACAGAGCTTTATCATGTGTTTAACATAAAGACTTAAATCCACATGGTATTATCTGAATGTGCAACCATGCTACCCAGGAGAGAAGCGGCAGCTGCCACTGATGCCTCAGACTTGGGTCCTTGGAGAGAGACTTGAGCTGCCATTGTGAATTTTGACCACCACATACAATGCCCATGACGAGAGATCACCATTTTTTTTTCTTTTTTTCTTCTGGTTGGCTTGATATTTATTTTAGGAGTCGAGTGCTTGCGTGATTCCAAGGTTGGTTAGCTGCTTTCTAACTCTTGCTCAGAAGTGCACGGTCTGACCCTTTCTTCTCAAACTTCAATTCTGCTCATTTTACGGATGAAGCTTTGCAAGCAGGTCCTTCCATGGGAGAATTGTTATATTAACAATAAGACTGCAATGTTTGTTTTATAAGACAACTAATTTAATAAACTCATCCTTGTGACAAGGTGGCTGCTGTGCTTTCTCTGGTGCGGTTTTACTGGTTGCTTTTGGCAGAGGAGATCCTAAATCTAATTTTTTGCATAGACATAAGGAGCACGACCTCTATGCGAAAGGCCAATTTGGCATTTTTTTTTATTGGCTTGGGAGGAGTATGTGCTACACGTGACTTCTTAATCATGTAAACTGACTTTTATGCAATGATTTTGTTTTATTCAATTGTGAATGTTCCATACCGGTGCCCAAATAAATACTTTTATTCTCTGCAATTGCCTAATTTTACAACCTTGCTGCTGCCAGTGTTGGAAGGAAATCACATGACTAAGCGTTTCAGGTAAGCTTTGTGGCCTAGTAAAACTACTGTACTGACGTACCGTCTATACTGCAAGTTTTAAAGATTAAAGTGCATATATTGAAAAATCCCAATTTCCTGTGACATCTTCCAATGTATGGTACCAGAGTCCTTCATGTGCTCTTGGTAGGATGCGTGGGGGGTTTGCTTCAAGGCTGAGGATCTATTTGTACTGTCTGGCAACTGATACAGTGTGAATCACTATAGCGTGATAGCTGTCATGACCAAACTGGACTAAAAGTAGGCTTCATAGACCATGTTGAAGAGGACGCCGTCTTTTACAGGAATGGGACATTAGCACTGGCAACTTAGCTACTTTACGGCAAAGTGGAGACACTTAAGGTGCCTGCGGCTGCCTGCTTTAGCCTTCAACACGATTGCTGTGGACCCATTTGGAATCATAGCCCTGGCTGTAAACAGGGCGTTGACTTTTCTCCAAATTGAAATTAAGCTGAGACTTGTCCTCTTGTCTTTCCACTGGGCCTTGGGCTTTTCACCGTGGAAAGATGAGGTAGGGGCTGAGAATAATCTTAAACTTGGATCAAGTTGCTGCATGCTGTCTGGGATTAGGATCCAGGGAAGGACAAAGTACTCCATTTAAAAAGCAATGAAGTTACAATCTGGACTTAAGGACTGTTAACTACGTTTTAGTCCAAATCGGATTCACTTTAGACCCTTCAGAGTGTGCATGGTACAGGGTTCTGCTTAGGAAATATAGGAAGTCTGTATCAGGATTGAAGTGGGGATATTAGCTGAAATGTAGCTTTGAAAAATCTTGTAACAGATTGATTATTTCTAGAGGTGGATACATATGGCAAGGTTTATGGTAGGGATGTATAAACTACAAATCCCATGGGATTGTACACCCCATTGACTGGTGTGACTGGTGAGGAAGCCTGTCATCATCCAATCGGCCAATCAGCGGGAGAAGAGGTCAGAATGGAGCAGATGACTAGGCTGTGACAAGGAGTGGCTGATGTAGACGGAGAAGACGACACAGCAGGTTAGTACTGCAGCATCATATATACCAAAAAGATAAACCAGCTAACAAGAGTGTCTGTCTGGTTTAAAAAGGGTTAACAGAGGATCGGGACAAGTATTCCAATTACAAAACGTTTATTAGATAAAATATCAGTTTTGGACATAAACATCATATCACTAACTGGTTTTAAAAAAAACAAAAAAGCATGACCTACAATTATAAATCTTCAGGTATGCAGATCTGTATAATGTGCTCTCATTCATATATGCTAATTAGCACAGAATGAGCGCATTATACAAACAGATCTGCATACCTGAAACTGTATTAACCCCTTCGTGACTGACGACGTACAGTGTACGTCGCCCGCATCGGGGCTGTTTAAACAGACTCCCGGTGACTTTTGCCGCCGGGACTCTGTTTAAACTTGTAGAGTAAAAAAAATTAATATAAAGCCATGTATGCAGAATTGGATATAGCTGTGCCACACTACAATAATACACTGGACAAGTCTGGACATGTGCATCTATTTTCCCCACTATAGGGATACAAGCCTTAGTTAGCAATGGCATGATAAATATTCAGTTCATTTAATTATTCAATGTCTTTTTTTTATATATTAGTTTCTTAATATTATGAAGAACATGAACACTCTGTAGTGTGGCACAGCTATAGCCAATTCTGCATACCTGGCTTTATATTATAAAGTTCTTATAATATAAAGCCAGGTATGCAGAATTGGCTATAGCTGTGCCACACTACACAGTGTTCTGGTCTGGACATGTGCTCATCTATTTTCCCCACTATGGGGATACAAGCCTTAGCAATGGCATGATAAATATTAATTTCATGTTCTTCATAAGAAACTGACCTAAAATCATGATTTTTGTATTGCTTTAGAAAAAATGTGACCTGTCCCTTTAAGGAAAAGTATCGGTAATTGGTATCGGCGAGTACTTGAAAAAAGTATCGGTATTCGGTCTTAAAAAAAGTGGTATTGGAGCATCTCTAGTTTAGGTTTATGGTAAATGACAGACTGGATTCCTTGTATCCCTCAGAATGTAAGAAGATATATATAGGTACAAAGCTGAGAATTTTATGATTGTGGTGAGTAAGGGTTGTTGAATGGACCTGCTTGAAACCAGTTATTATGGGATTCAGTAGAAAAACAAGCTAAAGGGGTTACATACAAAAGAAAAGTACTTTTTCTGTTCTCAGTTAAAGGGATATTGGTTAGTTGTAGATAATTGGCTAAGCTTAGTTTAATGGTGACTATTGGGAGGTGGTCCACATGTGATCTGACCTCCTAAGGTCTTGCTGGAGAATGTCACAATGGTCCTTCTATAGAGAAACCTGTGTTTTTCCTCGACTTTAATCCCCTTCCCCTTCGAGAGCAAATGGTGAGTGCTTGGTTATTAACTTGAAAGGGCAAAAGAAAAGCCTCTACTTAATTTGAGCTTACAGCAGAGGCTGTTAGACAAAGTGGTTGACGATTTTCAAGGCTGCCACATGGTCCCCTGTTCATTCATTAATTATGCTTTACCGGCTGGATATTCATGTGTCTTCTGAAGCCATTTTTGGGTGTAAGGTGCTTCAAGCTGCCCTCCTGAGCGCTTTCTTTCCTTGTAGGTCTATTTGCTGTGTTGTTGCCCACCCCTCAGTTGGACTGCTTTTGGGCATCCCATGGTCTAGACTCTGATCCTGTGCTGTACAATTAGGAAAATAGGATTTTTAGAATTATCTGTAAAATCCTTTTCTTGGATTCCAGTACAGGGCACGACAATCTCCTCTGTTCTTACGATCTCTGTATTGCATGCTACCAAACAGGCTTTCTGAGAAAGGGAAGATGGGGTTGTCCCCACAGGGTTAATTAATACAAGCTCTTGTGTCTTGTACTGTACTCAAGGATTTCACAGCTAAGATAAAAATCCTTTTGTTTTGTCCATTTTAATCTCACTGTAACTATTAAGCTATTGAAAAAGCTTGAGCCTACTTCTGAGCGCCGCTGTCTTGGATCAGGAACCCCAGGCAGCTTCAGAACTGTCACTCTTTTACGCTCTGTGGTATTCCCCTGCTATCATTTATGTTTGAGGTTCACGGTACAGCCTCTCATGTATTTGATAATGGGGCAGAGACGCTATTAGCTGGAGATTGTCCACAGCGGAGCAAAGGATGCCGGCAGTGCCCCCTCCTCCACTCTACACATACTGCAATCAGCTCCTGCTTTGTTTCATTTTGTGCAATGTCTCTGCTCCAACACTTCGGTTTATTTACTTGATGGATTTACAGATAACAAATTGCTGATCTTGCATGAAATCTTAATGTATATTTCCACTTTTGCTGTCAAAACTGCAATGTTTGTTCCCATTCATGCAGCATACCTAAAAATAATTTACAAAAACTCTTACGTTCTAGGTGCTGCAAGCTTGTGTCTTAATTTTCAAGTGACCGAAGACTGTCTGTCCCCATAGAAAGACTAGGAACAATGAACTTCCACTCATTCACACAAAATGCTCCTAGATCTATAGCACGATGTTGGAACATACATTGTACCCACAGATGGCAGCAGACATTCCGGACCAACAGATCTTTGGGAAAGAGCTTAAAGTGTAGTTTTTGGTGAAGGTCTTTATATAGATTCCAACAAGATACTCTTAAGCGGTTTGAGTGTGAAGCTTTAGGGTCAGACTGAGCTTCCTCTCATTAACACACAATGCTGTGAAGGCTTTAACACTTTGTTAGGACAGATTGTGATCAATTATAGTTTACAACTAATTAGATCTGTCAGCACAGTAAAGACCGGGTTAATTGTTATGTTAACATTCATTTCCCAGCTGCCAACCCTCGAAACTACAGGGTATTGTGCCACCTGCAGGAGAAGGACGCTAGGCACAAAGACAAGAGCCTAGGGGTGGCCTCTGCTGGTGGCGAAAGGGAGCCGTAACTTCCAAATAAACGTGAATAGCCCGTACCACATCTAGACAATGAAGAGCCCTCTCCTTCCGATGAACAGGCTTCGGACACAGAGAAGGAAGGACAACATCTTCATTGAGATGAAAATTTTAATGGCCAC